CAGAGGGAGAAGCAGACTCCCTGCCGAGCAGGGAGCCCGATGCGGGACTCAATCCAGGGACTCCAGGATCATGACCTGAGCCGAAGGCAGTTGCTTAACCAACTGAGCCACCCAGGCGCCCCGATATTTAAAATTTTAAACAGTAGCTGTCTCTAGTAAAAATACAATCAAATTAGACATGTTTGGTTTGTACTCAATCTTCCCTGTTCTAGAGACAAATACTTTTACCATGAATAGAAGCTCAGAGAATGAAAAATAATAGAAGAGGTACATAACTACAAAGAGTCAGCAGAACTGTGTCTTTATTTGCATTGCAGGTATATGTATTTTATATGGTGGATACATTTTTAGTACTAAGATAGGTTAACTTTTCTAACTGACTATATTGAATAGAGCAGTGGAAAAATTGTTAAAACCAAGTTAATGATAGCCATTATTTTCATTTAGAAATTTTTCAGGTTATTACAGTCAGGATACTCATAGATAATTTTGTCTGTCTTACAGGTGAACTGCTTTTTTGCCACTAGAGGGTGCTTTTAGATAATTTAATATTGCCAGCTTTCAATTCTTATTTTAAAGGCCTCTCAGCAGTAGAAGTATGAGCTATAGATATATATATATATATATATCATGGCCTTACAGAAATTTATAAAAGATTGTTTTTATTTTGTTGTGATTTTAACAATACATATGTTGATTTTTTTTTTTAAGATTTTATTTATTTATTTGACAGAGACACAGCAAGAGAGGGAACACAAGCAGGGGGAGTGGGAGAGAGAGAAACAGGCTTCCCGCTGAGCAGAGAGCCCGATGCGGGGCTCGATTCCAGGACTCTGGGATCATGACCTGAGCCGAAGGCAGACGCTTAACGACTGAGCCACCCAGGCGCCCCTCATATGTTGATTTTTAAGAACTTTAGTCTAGCTTGTTTTGGGTACCAGGGTGGTAGTAATTAATAGAAATGTTTAATATTTACTCTTCACAATATTTTGTTAGCAAATTTGTGCATCTCAAACATATTACTCAAATATTACCAGATACTCTTTGTACTATTACTTTAATATTTCATCTATTTAAAGTAAGAGCTAAGTAAGTTGTTAGACCAACTAATATGAGATGCACAAAACTAAAACTTTAACTTATACTTACTTTATACTTTAAACTAAAACTTTGTACTTACAAATATTAAAAAAAACTTTACATGTTCTTCATTCTCTGATATACTAGGGATTGAGAGCAATAAGTAAGATGTGATTAAGTCCTTATGCTATAAAGTTGATGTAACTTATTTGGAGAAGCCGATATACATACAATTACAACTCAGGACAAACAGGAGGATTCATTTTCATGAAATTTTATTATAAAGTACCAACAAAATACTGCAGAAATGTTGAAGATAGAGCTTCTCATCACCCCAAGTTATACAGCTGACCATTTCTTGCTTTTTTTCTTTTCCTCCCTATCCCAGTGCTTAAGAGGAGGACTGGTAGAATGGGACCAAGAGCTGCACTTCCCCACCTTTGCTGGGGAAAAGGCAATGGCAGTGGATAGGATGTGTGTGCAGTGGGGTCTGTTGGAATGTAAAGTGTGAACTACTTGGGACTGTCCTGAAGACTGAGGAAAAATGATGCTGAGTAAAAATTACTAATCCCAACTGTTCATCTCACCTCACGTAACTCTCCACTTTCATTGTCCTTTTTTCTCTGCCCCAATACTTGTTTCTATGCCTGTTTTGAATTGCACTGATAAGGTTGGAGATTGCCGATAGTTCTGAGTAGTGGTGAGTATGCTTAACAATGAAATGCTGATTTTCATTCATCAAATCAACAATCTTAAATTATAATAAAACCGAAAACTTCATGGTGCACCAGGATGAATGCCCTTATCCACTAATGGTGGAAATAAAAATTGATAATACTTTTTGAAAAGTTGACTAATTTTATCTTTTTTAAAAGCCTTTAAAATAGTCATGCCTCATAACCTAGTAATTTTGTTTCCGAGACACTGATTCTTGAGGAAGTAATCTGAAGTACAGAAAAATACTTAGGCAGACTGTGTTTAATAGTACTATTATTTGTTGTGACAAAAATTAAACCATTTAGCCGACCTATAAACACAGAGAACACACTGATAGTTGCCAGTGGGGAGGGGAGTGGGGAGATGGGCAAAATGGGTAAAGGGGGGTGGGAGATCTAGGCCTCCAGTTACGGAATGAATAAGTCACAGGAATAAAAGGGACAGCATATGGAATATAGTCAGTGACGATGTGTTGCACGGTGACAGACGGTAGCTACACTTGCGGTGAACGTGGCATAATGGACAGAGAAGTTGAGTCACTATGTTGTACACCTAAAACTAATGTAATATTGTGTGTCAACCATACTTAAATAAAAAATAAAAAAATAAAAGGCCAATTGAAACCACAAAAATTCAGTCATTTAGTAAGTTAATAATTAAAGCACTTTCAAATAATTTTTAATGGTATAACAAGGTTATGTTTTACCACTAAGACAAACAGTCTAAAAGAGTGCATATGTAAAGAACTGCACAGATGAAGGCTTGAAATACATTCCTCAGTATATTGTACTTATTTCTACTGGAAGGTTTTTCGATGTTTTTATATTTTCTTTATGTTTTTTATACTGTTAATATAATAATCTTTTAAAAATA